ACTGATAATAAGCTGAAAATGTCACATCTATTTCTGTGTGTTACATTATTCACATAAAAATTCTTCAAAGTTGGAAAAAGAAAACTCTGACAGTATGTAAATATGTAGTAAGGAAAAAAAACAAAGTATCTTAAGCAGGTGTTCATATATAAAAATAGTTTTGCTGTAAAAAGCAAATAGTATTGTAGGTCAGGTAAGAGCATAAATTAGAATCCAAGTGGTCCTGGATGAGTAATATACTCATTAGTCCGAGGCCTAAACAGAAAGCATGGGGGTAGTTAAGATGAGGAGGGGGTCTCTGCAGTCACTGTGGGAGTTTCTTGGTGTGTGGGAGGACTTTGTCAAAGACATGATTGGCCTGCTTGACTTTAGTGGGAGGATTTTGGATTTCTCCCTTAGAGATAGGGTGAGACGCTCGGTCATCCAGGAGGGACTCAGAGTAGAGCTGCTGCTCCTCCACGTCGAGAGGAGCCAGTTGAGGTGGCTCGGGCATCTGGTTAGGATGCCTCCTGGACGCCTCCCTGGTGAGGTGTTCCGGGCACATCCCACTGGGAGGAGGCCCAGAGGAAGACCCAGGACACGCTGGAGGGACTATGTTTTTCGGCTGGCCTGAGAGAGCCTTAGGAATCCCCCGGATGAGTTGGCCCAAGTGGCTGGGGAGAGGGAAGTCTGGGTCTCTCTGCTTAGGCTGCTTAGGCTGCTCCATTAATTTTTAATTCAGTTCAATTTAAGATGGTCACCAAAGCTTATCAAAATTAGTCAACACAAAATGCTTTCCTTCAAGGAATGCTACGTCTTTTTCTTCCCTAAGGCAAGAGCTACATGTTCCAACAATTCATAATAACAGACAGAATTGGAGCAACTAAGAAAAGACAGAACATTACTGTGAATGAGTTTCTATAGGTTGACTTTATTAAAGTTTAATTAAAACTTGTCATGAAACATTAGGTCCTGCTTGAGCCCGTATACAGTGAAACCATGTAGGAGACACACATGCTCACATAAAAAATACATGGCTGAAGACTCACTGTACAATCACTTTAATTAGTGCTGTTTGACAGAGCAGTTAATTGAGTTTTGCTTGTCCGTCACAGTGCTGTGTTTTATAGTTTTCTCCTGGCTGCAGGAGATTGGCTGAAGAAGAGCTGCCTCTCTTCTTTCACAATTACCTTAGACATCATATTCTAGTCTTCTTAATTTGTTTTTTATGATCATTCGCCTCCAGTTTTAGAGTGCTTTTCACTTGATAACAGCTTGTTAAATAGAATGTATTTTCTAGTTGAGGAGATCTGCTAAATGCAATTGTCTGCTATTGAGTTAAATTTTTCTGGTTTATGAGCTGGATAAGCCACCTCAATTTTTTTTCTTTTTCTTTTTTTTTTCTTTTTCTTGGAGATGTCTTCTTTCTTGCTAAGAAAATGATTTCAAACAAGGAGTGTGTGATGAGACGAGACCGAAATCTCGTGGCCATGACTAATACTACTGAGTCCAATTAAGCTGATGTGCCCACAGAATCAAATCACCCTGATCTGATCTTGTCTGCCTGTGCATATATTTGCATCTAACTCTGATCACCTGAGAAAAAAAAAGTAAAGATACAGAGACCTCAAATTATGAATATATCTGCATGTTTGTTCAACTTTCTTTATTTTTGGTTTCTCCGTCTTATTTAATGCCTGCCAAACCACTCAATATTCATGTTAGAATAAAAACTGAAAAATTAATTACCTGTATCAGTCACGGGAGGCTGTTCAAGTGAGGGGAAACTGACTAATTTAATAAGTGTGAATAATTGTTCATCATCCCAAAATGAGCTGAGTTTTTGAAGCTGGTTGACAAAACTACAATCACGATATTGTTATTCCTTGTAAGCACTGTCCCCCTACTGTCTGACAGAGAATTTATGACTCAGGTAAGCTCTCCGAAGCCCGCTATAGCTCGGCAGTGAAATGATTGTTAGTGTAGAGGAAGTCATAAATCAAACTCCGTTTATCATTATCTATTAATATGTTGCTGCTCCGAGCTCAGAGGTTTTTGCCTTCTTCCAAGACTGAACGATTTCATCCGAAAGGAGGAGGTGGGGGAAAAAAACATTCCTCAAAAGTTTTCTGTTTCTCGTGATTGATTTAGTCGCCTCTCCATGGTCTGCAGCGTGTGCTGACAGCTTCCGAAGGTGGAACGCCGCCTTAATTGAGCTGAAAACTCCGAGCCTAAATGCTGCAGGCTCAAAAACCCACACAATTAGGAAGTACTAATGACGTCGGCTTTCGCCCATTATTCCTCCAAATAAGCCATAGGGGATTCAATACGTAGTATCATTAATTCTTCATTAGTGATTAGGAAGCGGAGGAAAGTATTTAGCAGAAAATAAGCATCTTTGCGCCACCCACTTTTTTTGTTGCTGAAACCAAAAAAAAGCAAAAACATGGATGTATATGTGGGTCATTATTTGAAGACGGCTCTCTGAATTATTAAAAGATCTTTCTGTCTTTGCAGAACAAAGATGAGATCCACGTCATTCACAAGAATAAACTGGGTAAGTCCTATTTTCTCTTTTTAATTAGTATTTAAAAGGCAGTAAAAGAAGGTTGCAGTGAGCCACCATCACCAACTGAAGCAGGAAGAGTAAAAGGATAAGAAAAGTGTATTTTTTTTTCAGTTTTACAGCATGGTGTTGTGTACTGTAAAAACTACAGGCTCAAGTTTTATGTTCTTGTTGTTGTTGCAGCTTTGCCTTTAAGTTTTTATTCTTCCATCTGTGAGTACTGGTCTGGTACACCCTGAGCCCTGTTCATGCCACAGTGCTGCACCATCCAACTATTTTAATCCCCAGTTATGTTTGGGGCAGTGGAGATGAGAGCATGCCAACTCCTTAGCTGACCAGCAGGCTCAAACTTACAAGCTTTGTGCCAAAAAGTGTTGCTAATAAATGTTACATAACTATAATTCATAAATATCACCATGGTATTAGGGGGAAAAAAAGGAAGTTTAAATTTGGTGGGAGAAAACAATCCCTTTAACTCGTCATTTCAAGGGTACTTTGAAGCCCTCAAAACAATGTTTTTTCTCTGCTAAAACACATAAGTGCCATTCAAGCAGCTGTTCTGCTGCACATTCCTGACATGCAAACTGTGTGAGACCGCTGCAAGAGAAGAGAGCGAGGCTGAGACTGGGCCGTTACAGAGTTGTCATTGTTAGGGACTCATGACAGCTGAAGTGACAAAAGTAAGAAGGATTTCTAGGTTTTTTTTTTTAAGAAAAGGAAGACGGACAGTTGAGCTCATTATGTTAGATTTTATTTAAAGTGTAACAGCCTGTCAAACTCTTGTTAATCTACATGAGAAAATGAAAACAATAAATACAAAGATAAATAATAAATGATCTTCACATAATAAAATTAGACAATTTAGACAAAAATTGTTTAATATCTACATGATGGCTCAGTTAGTAGATCTGTTGCCTCTTAGCTAAAAAGATTGCCGGATCGAATCCCAGCCGGGTAGAGTTTGCATGTTCTCTTTGTGCAGTGGGCACCAGTGACCCCCATGACCCTGAAAGGAAGAAGCAGGTGAAGATTGTGTGTGTGTGTGTGTGTGTGTGTGTGTGTGTGTGTGNTGAAACTGTATTTTGGGCTATTAAAAATTCTGTTTGACTMCTTTCACTTTCAGTTCCAAAATTCTTTTTTAGTTCCAAAATTCAGATTTTTGTGTCACACATCCTGGTCCCTGAGAAAGCCAGCCAGACTAATCAAACACAGTGACAGGTTCAGAAGGAAGAGAATTTGTAATAATCACATGGTGGTGTCTGTGTCTGTGTCTGTGTGTGGGTGGGTGTGTGTCTGTGTGTGTGTGTCTGTGTGTGTGTGTCTGTGTCTGTGTCTGTGTCTGTGTGTGGGTTTGTTTTTGGTGACATTTGGCAGCAATTTTAAGACAAAACGCCTACATTTTGGGACAACTGGTGCATTTGGGGACAAAAGTCAAGTCCCCGTTTGGTTTAAATACCATTGGTGGGTTGGGGGTTGGGTTTAGGACCAAGGAGTGAATTGAGTTTAGGTTAATTTTAGGGCCAGGTAGGTTAGCCTTAGGGTTTGTGGTCAGGGTTAGGCTGTAGAAATGTAATGAAAGTCAATGGAATGTCCCCAACTGTATAGCTGGTCGAACGTTTGTGTTTGTGTGTGCGTGCGTGCGTGCGTGCGTGCGTGTGTGTGTTTTGGGCACGTCTTTGCTACATTGTGGGAACCATTTTCCAGAAAAAGGCAGCCTTGTGGAGACCATATGTGCATAGTGGGGACGGATACTTATTTCAGGTTGGGAGTTAGGTTTAGGACTAGGGCTGCCATGAGTAGTCAACTAGTCGATGACTAATCGACTATTAAAATAGTCGATTAGTCATCAACTAATCAACTATTAAAATAGTTGACGACTAATTTAATAGTCAATTAGTTGTTTTGTTTTGTTTTTACTTAGTTTTTTTTCTCCAAACTGCTTTGACACCTTCCACTGCCGCATCTGCCTTTCTGTCCTTGACACACATGCACAGTAGTGGTAACTGGGGTAGGCCGTGGACGTCACAAGACATTATACAGACAGGCTCTGGTATCATGGCTACCTGACAACGGAGCTCCTGTGCAGTGCAATATCTACAAGGCAGAACTTGCCTTCCATGGCAATTATTTTTAGTTGGCATATAGCTAAAATCCAACGATGGTTATATAATAGCAGCTGCATTCTGGCATGATAAATTGTGTTTTATATTCAATTAACGTATGATCTGATTAGTCGACTAATCGAAAAAATAATCGGTGATTAGTTGACTATAAAAATAATCGCTTGTGTCAGCCCAATTTAGGACCAAGGTGCGAATTGAGTTTAGGTTAAACTGAGTAATTTAGGATACACACAGCATCTTTTGTCTGCCTTGCCTCCATTACTGTGGAGTTATTTTTAGGGTAAATTTCAGGGTTAGGCTATAAAATTACCAAAAAATGAATGCAAGTCAATCCACAGTCCACATGGGGACATAAAAACATACCTGTGTGTGTGTGAAATAGTTTTTTATTGGTAATGTAGCCCACATGAAAAAAAGCACATTTGTACAGAAACAGATGTTTTCTGCTAGAAAGTAGTGCAGTGTTAGAGAAATGATAAATACTTTTTATCTATATTTTTTTAATAAATGCAAATTGGAAAAGTGGGACTTTTATTTGTTTTCAGCCTGCTTCACTCAGAACTAAAGACCTGTGCTAACAACTCATTTCAGAAATCAAATAATTAGTAATAAAAATAGTCTTTGTTTAATTTGATGTCAAAATAGTACATCTATTGAGTTAAAGCCTCTAAGTTTTTTTCTACTAAATATAGATGATCAAACATCATCATGAAGACCAAGGAACACACCACAGGGTTTTAACAAGATGTGCAAATTTCATGGCCTGTGAATACATTTTAAGGCACTGAAAACAAGTTTTTTTAAGTAATGAAAATTAATTTTCCTTTGTTTGCATATCAGCAGCCCTTCATTTGAAAAAACTCTTAATATGTTTCCAGCACACACTTTGGAATTAAATAATTACTGCCTTTTGGTTGTGACGACTGTGGTTATTGTTTTCTTTGACATTTCAAGTTGGTATTTATCAGGGGAATTCACTTCCTATCTTGTATGACCTTAAGGAATGAAACTATCCTGGGAATGTTTCAGTTATGTGAGGATTTCATGCAGGCAGGTTTTGAATTTATTTCTTAGTTAGATCATGAATAATAAAAGCTGAATTGAAAACTACAGCACAGTGTGAAAATTGAATGGAAGTGCAACAGAGTGAAAATGATCAAACTTTCTCCTTTGAGTCCTGCCTTGAAAACCTATCAAAGTGAATTATTTTCTCCTTTTTTAACTTTACAAATATGGTTTCATTTCTTCATTGATTTGACAACATATAATTTCATAAATAGAGCAAACAAAGAAAGGTCTCACGCATTGCATTCACGTTTCAAAGAATCCACAACTGAAAGGGATTTTTTTTTTTTTGGTCCCTGCAAAAGGAGTTTCGTGCCTTTTTGCTGGACCTCTGCCTGATCATTCATCTGGGTCACCACAGACACAAAAAGGCACAAAAGCAACTTCATAATGCTCATTTGGCACCTCGGCGTGAAAAGGAAATCTAAACAGACAGCTATCTGAACCGTGGAGCTACATAACCTTACACTTCCTCTGTTACCATGGAAAAGCCGAACCATCCTGCAGAAAAAGTTATGAGGCAACAATAATATTTAAAAATATGCATCCAATTTAAAGAAATAAAAAATAGGGGTAACTAACGTGTTTGTTTTAAAAGATAATGACTTGTACGAAGTTCTTGGAGAAATCAGTTGAAGAATCTGTTTCTAAAGGAGGACAAAGCTGCAGTTTTCACGTGGGTCAAAGAATAGCTTGGATAAATCTCAGTGAAATGTGCAACACCCACACTGCACTAAAGTCCACTGTAGATCATTAAAGCCAGAAGCTATAATAATTCTGGCCCCTTTTGTTAAAACTATTTTTTTGTGAAGTGGTTAAAAGAAAAAGATTTTCAAAAAGCATTCCTTTTCTTTTCCTCTTTTTTTCCTTGTTTACTTCTTCCTCTTATTCTTCCCATTGAACCAATAATAAGCAGCAGTTTTAGCTAAAACTCATTATTTGAAAAGTTGTTTTTCTTTATTCCTCTGACAACTGCTCCATGACGGTTATATTTGTGCAAATGTCATGGCACAGAATAACTCGGCATTACTCCTGATCTTACCTAATCTTCCTAAAGGTCTTTATAATCCCACAGGGCGTTCTCTTGGAAAGACTTCCTGAGATCCTGCTCCTCAGCACTTGACCATCACCACTACCGCTGACTTTTAATCACATCATAAATGGACCACACACAAAAATAAATAAAAATAAATAAATAAATAAACCTAGTAGTAATATTTTATGTTCACGTCTTCTTTTTTAGGGTCTCAGTTTACTTGACAGCTGCTTAGAGGTGTCCATTACTGACTGATATGTCTTGAGCAGTCGTGATGTTTGTAGAGCTTTAGGTCGTATTCAGACCTGATAATTTGGTCCGCTTTAAATGAACCAGAGTTCGTTTCCAGCGTTGGTCCGGACCTTTTGTGCAGGTGTGAATACACTCATGCGAACTCTGGTGCGGATCAAACAACCGGACCGAGACCTGCTTTTTGAGGTGGTCTCGGTCCGCTTCCAAACGAACTCTGGTGCGGTTCGCTTCAGTTTGCTTCTGGTGTGAATACAGACTGGACTCTAACTGAACCAACAGCATTAAACATGCACCTTTTTGGACTTCACAGGCCACCGTTGCTGAGCTAAATAAACTGAAAACATACCTGTTTCATCGTCTCCTGTTAGCAGCTCTGCTGCCGGCATGTTGTGGGTCAGAACACGCAGCGCACCTCTTCTCCTTTGGGTTGCGGGACACATTTACTGACGCTGCTCCAAAATCAGAATATCATCACGGAACCACCATTAAATTAGCTGCTTCTGACATTTTAAATG